GCAATATCAATTACCACAACTCTTTTCAAAAGCAGTATTAGTACTTCAAAAAAATCACACGTGTCATTCATCCGATACATAAGATGTGAATGCACATGTTTACTACTAGTAAGTTATATAATTGACTTTAGTGGAAATCTACTATCTATAATAAATTAAATATCATATTGAGTGAGAATTATTTTTAGGACGATTCTGTACTTACTAAAATTCAATTTATATCAATAATACGTTACTTTTCAATTTTCAATATGTATTTAATTTATTAATCATATCAACCATTGAACAATATAATCATTAATTATTTTGCGGACTATTTTGTTATGATGAATGCACATTTACAAAATTAATTACCTTACTTTTCGTTTTCTCAATATGTATTTAATTTATTTAATCATATTTAATAGATTCATTATCTTTTAATTTTTCAATATGTATTTGATTCATTTAATCATTTGAACAATATTATCATGAATCATTTTGTCATTTATTTAGTTATAATCAATGTATATTTGACAGATTCATTCTACATGATTGGATAGTAAATTAAATTCATTAAAAATAATTTTGGAACAAAAGATAAATATTTTTAGAGTCTTCTTCCAATTGATTAAAGAAAGTAAATGAGTATCTATAATAAATAATTTCAATTAGTGATGGCAAAAAAACTAGCCCTGACTCGACGGGGCCAGCCCCGCCCAAGGCATAAGTCGCCGCCCTGTCTCACCTTGTGAAGAGAAAAAATATTTAAAAATAATTTTATTTTTGAAATTGATGCAACCGTTTCCAATATTTTGTAATTAGTAGGAGTATTTAACCCATTATAATTACAAGGGGATCAAATGCAAAAGTGATTATGATCTGTCTTTTCTATTTTTGAAATTTTAAAAATGTAATAAATAAATAAATAAACAGAGTAGCAAACGGGGCAAGCTATCGCCCTGCGCCGCCTAAGGAGGGGCGGGGAGTGAGGCAAGACGGGGTCTAGGCGGGTACCCAGTCCCAAACCTAACAAACTTGCCCCAAACCTAACCAACTGTCATTGCTAATTCAGTTGATATATTCAATGCATATTAGTGTTTTATGACAAATATGAAGAAATGATGATGGAAGATCATGTTAAGTCTTATAAAATGATTAAATGTGTTGGTAATTAGTGTTTTACATCATTGGTGCTTAACATAAGCTAAGTACCAATGTTTAGGAGATTAATTCTATTACTTCATATATGTAATTGACATCTAGATAATGTAAATGACTTTTCAACCTCTTCAATAATATGTCGGCAAAAACAGGTCGACAAGTGATTTAGATATTGGAGTACACTCATCGCTTGTAAGTCTTATAAAATGATTAAATGTGTTGGTAATTAGTGTTTTACATCATTGGTGCTTAACATAAGCTAAGTACCAATGTTTAGGAGATTAATTCTATTACTTCATATATGTAATTGACATCTAGATAATCTAAATGACTTTTCAACCTCTTCAATAATATGTCGGCAAAAACAGGTCGACAAGTGATTTAGATATTGGAGTACACTCATCGCTTTTCTTCATGCACTTGTTTGTGTTAGTGTTTTGGTGTGCTTAGGGATCGAGAGTGGCTAAATACAAAAATATCAACACATAAAACACAATTGCAAAGTTATCTATTACTTATTTGAGGAAAGTGTTACTTCTCTTTTGATTCTTGGCATAATTCGATACCTTCTATGGTGTTCTTTTTAAGACTTAATAACACCACACAAACTATAAAGATACATGGAATCTTATTTACTAAAGCATAACGTGCAACTCTTTGACATTTTTCATTTATATGCTGATGTTTACTGAAAGACATAAAATTTCAATCCAATTCACATTTTTGCATTAAGGAAAGATTTAGAGAAAATTAAGTACCTTCACTCCTTAACAATAACATAGAGGATGCATAATACGAAAATAGATATAGACTAACACATTTACCTTTGCATGATAGACAATAGATGAGTGCACTACTTTTCTAGATATGTTTCTTATTCAAATGATGGCTTCGCATCTTCTTTATTTTCTATCCTCTATTGGTAGCTTTGCGTACTTCTTGCATCACGATTTGTTTCTGAGTCCTATCACTTTGACCTTTTTCGTCCATCTTCACCAAAAATTTAAGTTCTTTATCTTCAGCCAGCATCAAATTTCTGTTGTATACACTTTTCTTCTCCTTCGACTGGCAAAAATATTAGAAGAAAAGCATATATTGGATGATATATTAATATAACTTGGAATATTAGTGAGGATATTGCTAAATATATAAGGGTAAAATTGATATTCAAAAAATAAACAATTAATTTTTATGTAAAAAGATTAAGTTGAGATGCCCCCCCCCCCCTCCCCACGCTCCACTAATCACACTTGATTATAGACAAAAAAATGCTAAAAAAAATTAAATAAACAATACTGGGAAAGCGAAATAATGCCCAATTACCAGTCCTTACCAATACTTTTTCTTCTTTCATTATTGATTGTTTTGGAGAAGATTTGAACATTTATTAATATAGAAGTTAGATTTTGAGGGGAGGAGTTATCGAATTTTTATTGAGAGATGAACAAAATGAAAAATATCAAGAAAATTTAGTCTAGGTTCATCGATAGAAAAAACTCAAGTCTCTAGGTAGCCGTTTTCTCTTGAGAAGTTCCAAGCTAGAACCACCTCCTTAAACGATTACTGTCACCACTAAGCTCTACCAATTTCTTGGACAATTTTAAATATGCAAGCAATTTGCTCATGAAGCTCGAAAACTCGATCACACCCATTTGTCCCTTCCAAATGATTGTTTTGGTAGTATCCAAAGGATCACTAAGTCATTTTATAGAGTCAGACTAATTCCACCTAGATATCAGGAATTTTAAATGTGTAAGTATATAGATATCGGGAAGAAGATGAATAGCTTTTTTATTATGTATTTATCGTCATAATAATTGAGGATAGACTAAGAAATCATTTGGTTATAATAATAAATTGATATCAATAAAAAAATAATAGAATTAATATCGAGCATTGATTCTTCTACGAATTTCGGTATACGGTCTATGCCCTTTCATCTTCTTGTATTGAAATTAGTCTAAAACAAGGGAAGCATCATGTCTTCAAAATAAAATCAGTGTAAATTAAGAAAATAGACTAAGGACATTATTGACAAAAGTTTAAAATAAAAATAAAAATGAGGGCAAAATGAAAAAAATGGGTATCAGGTGAGGGTATATTTAGCCTATTGTTAAATATGTAAGGGTAAAATTGATATTCAAAAGTTTCTCTTTATTCCTTCCTCTTTAGATATTGTAAATAAATAAGAAAGACGCCTGAGTTCTTTACATCCCGCTCGATAAAGATATGTTAGAATAGGATTTGAATGAATTTTTCGAAGAATAGTGTGCCAAACGTGACTTTCTCACCAACCCCGTTCCTCTCCATCCCAACTTCCATCCCCGTCACTTTGCATTGAACTGTCTTCTCCGGAAAATGTGATACAGAATTGATGGGGTGGGTAGAATGAAGAAGACAAGAGGAAACATACGAGGTTATTTCAGAGATATTAACAAAAGAAGGCTACTTTCAAACAATTTAAATACAAGATACTATCACATCATCTCCATATAACAAATTATTTTTCTTATAGAAGTGGTGTCACATTATGACTCCAAATGCAAGGTTAGGTTATAATGAACATGTAATCAATCATTCTTTTGACATAAATAAAAAAAAAAATATTTAAACAACAGTTTTTCGACCATGGAACTGATTAGTCAGTAAGACTTACTTTAGTGGCTAATTAATTAAATTTTAAGTTTATTGCTAGGCAACCAAGTTACAGTCGATATTCTCATTAAATTTCCAACATAAATAATGTTGGCAAAAAGTAGCACTATATTTTTGCACTTCACCAGGTGTCCGATTAAACATTTTTTGTTAATTTTATATAATTCCACTACAAGAGAGTCAAAGAAACTTTATTCGAGGTGATTGTGCTCTATTCTATTATTTATATATATTTGTTAGAATTTATTGTTTGTTGGCTCTATCAATCAAATAAAAAAAATGGAATATTCCTTTGCTTTGGGAAGAGTCAATCAATTAATTTCATTATATCTCTTCTAAACGTTCTATTCATCTGATATTTCATATGGATAAAAATGGAATAGAGTACAAAAAATACTTCTTTACTTTTCTTTTTTTAATTAAAATTTTTATTATTAATATGAAAACAAATTCTTTTTTGAAAACCTAAGTTTAAACTAAATTAACAACTAAATTTACAGGGGTGTCTCTCAGTAATGATTGCTCGCATGATTTGGAATAAAGTAATTCATATCATCTATGAAAAATAAAACGACTCTATGTAAGATCTTCTAATTGAGATATGAATCTAGACTAGGTTGTACGGGAAAAAAATGTAGTTTTTGCATTAATCCAAAGCTAGAAAAGGTTTTATAAGATTTAAAAAGGTCCATTGAGCTCCTCATGCCTATGTCATAATAGAATCAAAAACTTGCACCGACTTGACTTCTACATTCTAATTGCTCTTGTGAATAACAAAAGAAAATAGATAATGGAAGGTAGAAGAGAAATAAAGTAAATATAGAAATATCTCTCATATGTAGGTCTATTTGTACGTGTTTGCCGGTATTAATTTTACACAATTCCATTATAAGAGATAAAAGAAACTTTATTCAGGGTGACGAATTAGAGAACCATTCGATACTGATACAATTCAGGTTTTTAGACATATAGAACTATACAAAAGTTAGGTGCCAAAAGCTGAATTATATGTCAACTCTCCATATTATTACCAACCTAAATTAATTGGGATCTCAAACGATCAAACTTTTGAGGGAAGCAGGCGAGGCCGGCGGTGTTAGATTTGAAGTTTATCGGTCAACTCTCCTGGAAAAAAAAAATAAAAATAAAAATAAAAATTTACTCATCTAAGCAATGGTCAAGACGATGAGTGTAACATACCGTTATTAAAATTAGTCTACTTTTTTTGTTTCAGTTCATCTTCTTCATCGTCCGGTCCCCATCTTACGCCACACCATCTCCCTTTCTCACCGACCCGTTCCTCTTCTTCGTCCCAGCTACCATCCCCGCCACTTTGCATTGAAGTTTCTTCTCCGGAAAATGGGATACAGCATTTATGGGGTGGGGCCATCAGGGTGGGTAGGAAGAAGACATGGAAAAAGACCAGGTTATTTCGTAGATATTCACAAAAAGAATGTTACATGAACACTATGGTGTACACTTTATCACGTGTCATTATCCTATTGGAAAGTTTAAATTTCAAACTGTTTTTCCATCAAATTGACACTTGACAACAATATAAGTATCAACCAAAGTATCAAAAATCAATGTACAAATAGCAAAATTCAATTTATTTACAAAAATGAGCTCTAATTTATCTTATTTCACCCAAATTGGTGCAACTTTGACAATTTCCTCAAATTCAAAGCTAAAGCGATTTCTTAGCTTTTCCCCTTATTCAAGAATGCTTCCCATAATCTGTATAGAGATAAGACTATAAAACATGGCCTTTTCAAACAAATTAAAATAATTTCCAAAGTATTAAATTTTTCTTGCAACTCGCATAGACTGAAAACAATGGATGGTTTAAAACAAGAGTAGTTATTGACCATTTAAGCATCGATTTGGACAAACCATTCAGGTTTTCTTTCTGTTCATACTAAGAATTTGCTGTGTATTTCATTGTGTCTCATCAAAATCTTCATTATCACTTTTGAGCAGTGATTGATTCCTGCTTATTAAGGGAGAAATGAAGAAATTTGAATTTACCTTGAGAAATTTGTAGCCATGAAAACATCTCATAGAGCCTTTATTTTCCTTCTTCATGTTCTGCTTTTCTCCTTACATCCACTGAAGATAACGTCGTCTGCAAGAACAGAAGCAGCGGCTCTTGTGAAATGGAAGAACAGCTTGTCTTCTCCTCCTCTGAATTCATGGTCCCTTGGAAATCTTCGAAATCTTTGCAGATGGACAGGAATTCTCTGCAAAAACGGGGGATCAGTTTCTGAGATAAACTTATCCAATGCAAGCCTCTCTGGCACCCTCGACCAGCTTGATTTTACTGCGTTTCCAAATCTGACAAGACTTGACCTCAGTTTTAACAATTTCAGCGGGTCGATACCATCTAGTATTGGTAGTATCTCTATTGCAACTTCCTTGGACTTGAGTAACAATGTATTGGAGGACATCATTCCAGCGGAGATTGGAAATTTGATAGAGCTTCAATACATTAGTTTGTACAACAACAATCTCAAAGGTCAAGTTCCACATCAAATTGGGAAGCTTCAAAAGGTACAACACATGGATTTTGGATCAAATTACTTGGTGAGTCCCCAATGGTATCAAATCACAAGCTTTCCTTTGTTGACACATCTCAGCTTTGGTTACAACGAAATCACCTCAGGATTTCCAGATTTTATACTTGGTTGCTGGAACCTTACTTATCTTGATTTGTCTCAAAACCACTTGACCGAACTAATTCCCGAATCATTATTTGTCAATCTAGGCAAGCTTGAATATCTGAACCTTTCTACCAATTCCTTTCTAGGGCCATTATCATCAAATCTTACCAAACTGTCAAAGTTGAAAAATCTTCGATTAGCAACCAACAAACTTTCTGGCTCAGTACCTGATATTTTCAACTCTATGCCTAATCTCGAAATTCTTGAGCTGTTTAACAATTCATTTCAAGGAAAGATACCCTCTTCTTTAGGACAACTCAAGAATCTGCAGAAACTAGATTTGCGAGAGAATGGCCTGAATTCCACAATTCCTTTGGACCTTGGCTTGTGCACCAACCTTACCTATTTGGCTTTAGCCACAAATTCACTTACTGAATCCTTGCCTTTGTCCTTGTCGAATCTGACCAAGTTGACAGAGTTGGGTTTATCGGACAATAATCTATCCGGTGATGTTTCGCCTTATTTCATCTCAAATTGGACCCAACTAATATCATTGCAGCTTCAAAATAATCTTTTCACAGGGGAAATTCCATCTGAAATAGGCCTACTGACTGATCTAAACACTCTTTTTCTATACAACAATACATTTTCTGGCTCCATCCCACCCGAGATTGGAAACCTGAAAAATTTGACGTTGATGGACCTTTCAGGAAACCGGCTTTCAGGCATAATACCTCGAACAATCAAGAACCTAACAAATTTACAGATCCTCAAACTTTCCTCCAATGGTCTTACTGGAACTGTTCCACCAAAGATTGGAGACTTAACATCACTAGAGACGCTTGATGTGAGCACAAACCAATTAAGTGGGCAGTTACCAGAGTCCATCTCGAACCTCAGTGCCCTGCAAACTATTTCCCTGTTCTCTAATGAATTTTCAGGAATCATTCCCCATGACTTGGGAAAGAATAGTCCCAAATTGGCAAATGTTAGTTTTTCAAATAATAGCTTCACAGGTGAACTGCCTTCTGGATTATGCAGTGGCTTTCTTCTCAATCAATTTACAGTGAATAACAACAATTTTACCGGGAGGTTACCCGGTTGCCTGAAGAATTGCTCGAGCCTTAATAGAGTACGGCTTGAAGGCAACCGATTTTCTGGGAATATTTCAGACGCATTTGGAGTTCATCCGAATCTCGAGTTCATCTCTCTCAGCAGAAATCAATTCACAGGCCAACTTTCAACTAAGTGGGGACAATATGAAAGGCTTACAAATCTTCAGATGGATCAAAATAAAATTTCTGGAGTGATTCCAGCTGAGCTAGGCAATTTAACACAGTTGCGTGTCCTAAATCTGGATTCGAATGAATTGATAGGTGAAATTCCTGTTGGACTGGGAAATTTAACTGAACTGCTCAATCTCTATCTGAGCAACAATCAGTTGACTGGAGAGATTCCTCGAACTATTGGACGCTTAACAAAGCTCCAATATCTTGATTTGTCAGCAAACAAAATAGGAGGAGGTATTCCAGAAGATCTAGGCAATTGCGAGAGCTTGCAGTTCTTGAACTTGAGCAAAAACATTTTATCAGGGAATATCCCGTCAGAACTTGGTAACTTAAATGGGTTACGGTACTTGTTGGACCTTAGTAATAATTCACTTTCAGGAACAATTCCTCCAAACTTGGGAAAGCTTACCTCTTTGGAGAATCTGAACCTGTCAAATAACAAGATTTCAGGTAGAATCCCTTCAGCA